TAGAAAGAGCACCTCAGGAACTATCCAGTTCCTTGGACCTGCTCTAGTTTCGTGGTTCAGTAAAAAACAAGGTGCAGTAGCACTATCAACTGCCGAGGCTGAATATATGGCAGCTGGTAGCTGCTGTACCCAAATAATGTGGATGAAAGCTCAGCTAGCTGATTATGGGTTTAACTTCAAGAATATTCAAATATGTTGTGATAACACAAGTACAATAAGCATGACAAAAAATCCTGTTCAACACTCTAGAACATAGCACATTGAAATAAAATATCACTTTATTAGAGACCTGATTCAAGAAGGACATATTTGCTTGCAGTTTGTGTCAACCGAGTCACAACTAGCCGACCTATTTACAAAACCCCTCCCCAGTGAACGTTTCGTGCAAATATGTACAGAACTAGGATTAAAATCTGCATGTCAGATTAAAAATCTCTCTCTCTAACCCCTGATAGGTCCTTTTTCTACTCTAGGCTTTCTGCGTATCTTGGTTTGATAACCAAGAGCCTTTCTGCTCATGCTTGCTTCGTCCCAAGGATTATCCATGGAAGCCCGCAACTAATCATTACAACTTTCCTCTGCCCGTTCCACTTGAAAACTCTTCAGCTTCCCATCCGGTCCTCGTCTCTTCTGCCTATAAAACCCCTTTCACTCATGTTTTGCTATTCACGCTTCCTTTCAGCAACACAAAACTTCCAAAAGATTCAGAGAGAACTTCATTGTCTCCAAACATGAGTGATTACATGCCTCGCCCATTTCGTTTCGATGGTTTAGTTCACACTTTTTCTGGATACATGTTCCATGAACCAAGAGTGCTCAATCACCATCGCTATCTCCAACATTTCGATAAGAGAAGGCTCCATCACATCACTCAACTTGATCCCTATGAATTCAATGTCTACAAGTATGACATTATTTCTCTTATCGAAGGGCTTGGGTGGGATTTCCTCCTTCGTCAACCTATCCATCCTGCCTGCCCATAAGCTGTCAAGTACTTCTTCTCCAATCTTCAGAGTCCTGGCATCAGCTCCAGAAGGTTTACCACTCTGATCTATGGGCATCTGCTGACTGTTCCAGTTGATGCTCTCAATGGCATTCTTGGGTTTCCCTCTCAGGGACTCGGTCTTGCTCATCCTTCTGAATTTTGGAAGCATGAGTTCAAGATAGAAATAGAGTATAGCAATTTCTCCACTGAGCCAACTGGTGGCTCTGATGTCCCAATACCTGTTGCTTGGCTGTCCCCCAGACTGAGGATCTTTCACTATTTCCTCACTCACGTCTTCTTCCCTCGGTCCTACAATCAAGACTGTGTTCTTCTCATGGATCTCTGGATCATTGCCAATGCAACTGCAAGACGAAAGCTCGACTTTGCAAGCATCATGTTTGGTCAGCTTCTTCCTGTAGGAGACGAAAACTTCAAAGGTCTCCTACCTTTTGGCTCTATTATCACCCGATTAGTGATCAATCTAGGTGTTGACCTATCCGAGTTTCGAAGTATCTCCTCCACTATGTATGTCAGTGCACTTAATGTGCTGATGATACTTGACCTGTCAACTGATATTCCTCCTCCTCCTCCTCCCTCTGCATCCCTTCTGGGTGCTCCTCCAAAGTCTCGCTCTGTTAAGAAAGGAGCCTCTGGGAAGAAGTCAAAATCTGCTGGTGAATCCAGCAAGTCTGGGAACCTTGTGTTCTCTATCTCTGAAGTCAGTGGCTCCTCTGATGATTCTGCTACCTCTGCTCCTCCTGCCTAATCTCTTTAGTTCTTCTCTAGCTGTACTTTTATGCTTTCTCGTTTAGTGTCTTTTGTTTAGGGGGAACATGTCCTTTTGTGTGCAGGGGGGAACTGGTATCCAGTTCCAAGTAGTTAGGGGGAATATCTTCTATATCCCCATATTTTGCTTGTATTGCTGCTCCTCTTGTAACTGCCGTTAATGAATGCAATTCTGTTTTCTGTTAGGATTCTTGGTCTGCTGGTGTGCTTGTTATTCTTGTTTTGCAGATTCCTCAACTACTTGGACGAAGGGGGAAATTGTTGACCGAAACGACGCTGCTTTACTAAGCCTAAAACGATGTCGCAGGCATACCAAAGAAACGGTCACAAATTGGGTTTTGTCCTTCGCAGTTGGTCTCTTCCTTCTCGAGTCAAACACTCTCTGTTCCTTTCAAGAGATCGATGAACCGACTTCTCAGCCTTCCTCTCCACCGCCTCTACTCAGCTAGTAATCCGAGGATCTATCTGGAGCGCACTGTGTAGGGAACGGTTATCTCTCAGTTTCGGTATAAATAGTGAGTAGTTCTTTGATTTCGAGTTGTAGCAGTTGGTATTAAGAGAGATCGAGATACACTCCTGTATCATGGGCTAAGTTCATTTCTTTCTTCAGTACATAGATCACAGGAGTTGTAAACTGGGTGATCTAGTCTTGGGAAGTTGGGATTGAGTGTTTCCTCTTGTTGCTAAAAGTGCCAAGTTTCTTGGCGTGGCTAGGGATTGTGAAGATTTTATGTATCTCAGTTTTTTAGTTAAATAAAAGTTATTTTACTTCATACTCATCTTGATTTAACAAACTATACATGGTCGTACCGGTTCCATAATCTTACCAAGCAGATTGAAATTCATATCTCCTACATTTGTGACTTTGGTTCATGCTGGAGTTATTTGTCTTCACTATATATGTTCTGATTGATGAACATGTGACTGATTTGCTTACTTATAGTTATTTATGTCAAGAACCAGTTGATCCCAATAACTCGAATTGTTGGGAGAGGTTCAATCATGGATCATATACCACAGCACTAACACGCCCCCTCAAACGAGCCACTCACAAGGGCTTGAAGTTTGCACAGGTCCGAAGACAATAATACCATGTGCTTAACAAATGGGGGTCACCGGGAATCGAACACAAGACCTCTCGGTCACAGAAGGCTCTGATACCATGTCAAGAACCAGTTGATCCCAATAACTCGAGTTGTTAGGAGAGGTTCAATCGTGGATCATATACCACAACACTAACAATTTACAAGTAGTTACTCTAACAAATTGAGGCTTCTTAATTTACCAACATCAGCTGGTGTCACCTACAAGAAAAATACCAGTCAACGACCACAAAAAATAGTCGTGAAAACAAGAAAAGTGGTCGGTCGTCAAATGATGTTGTGACCACATTTGTTGATCGCCAGAGTGGTCGTAGTATATGCACTATCGTCTTAGGGTTAATGCGACCACTTAAAAGAATGATATATCGCGGGAAATATTACCATTGACAACCATATATAATAGTCGTCGAATGTAATCATATTGAGATATATATATATACATATATGTCCTTTCGAGACGATGGAGATGATGATCACACGTTCTCTCATGGATTTATCATGCTAGTTAGGGATATCACGTAAATCAGTTTTGTTCGTTAAGCTTCGTTCTAATTACGCTTTTAATACATTGTACATATTCAATTTTCATTTTGGCTACAACCACGAAGTAATCCACTACATGCATTACTGCCGCAGAAGTACGTACGTACGTGGGGAACTTTATTCGAAGTAGCTAGCTGGAAAGAACACAGGAAGTAGCAACCCTAAAATGAACAAATCGATCTGTGGCTCTTGGGCTCAAGTTTGAGCTGTTTCATAAATCTTGTCCTAGATAGTACAACTGGCTATGGTGGGAGAATATCGATCGAGAACAAGAGGATTATAATTAGAAAAGGAAGTCGTGTGTAGTAGCTGTAGATCGAGAAATGACTAAGCTAGGTCACAAAATCGGTCCCTAGCTAGAAGTAGTAGATGGGATAATATCTCACTTTCAAGATCTATCCACAAGAAATGCTGCCACGAAATCTAATCTATCATAAACCAAACAAAGTAAAGCAGAAAGGTATTGGATGCAATATTGGACAAATTGATCGAACAGCAAGATATACCATGTGGAAGTGGCAAAAAGAAGCAGCGATCGACGAGTTGCTAGGAGGAATCACACATGGTTCTACTTTGAGTAAAATTAAAAGTCTGTTATATCACTAGCAGAATTGAGAATTAATTTTATTTAGATTGTTCATGTACCCTCTAAAAAGAGGCTCGTTATACCTTTACTAATTAGTAAATGATATCTATTATCTAGACCTTGAATTGAGCGGAGTGTGAGACATGGAACTATATCCTAACCCTTGAAGATTAAAATCTAGATATTTATTCTATAAATCTTACACACTAAGATCTATTTAATTAGAAACAATAATCGACGGTTTTGATTTTTTTTGTCGAAAATTCAGAATTATAGTAATTCAGTTTTTCGGTCGGACATTCGAAATTTTGGTTCGGTTGAAAGAACCCTGGTTTTCCGAAATATCCATATGTCCCTTCCGAATTTCGAAATGAATAGAATTTCGGTTTCGGTTCAGGTTTACCGAACCAGTTGCCCGCCCCTACAACAAATCATATATGGACCATCTTAGTGGATCATCTATGATTTAGATAAACAAGACCTAAGATTCACTTATCAAGGGTTATGATATATCATCATGTCACAAAATCCGATTAATTCGAAGTCTAAATAGCGTTTTCTCACAAGGGCATGTGTTGTCCTAGATTTACCCTAAATACAATAATGAATTATAAATATATATAAAAAACTAGCGTACATCTGACGTATGATATAAGCCATGTATCCACACTAATTAGATACACTTCATATATTTTTACGACTGAGAATCGTCATTTATTATTTTTGATGAACTGAACAATGGCCTAAGGGCACGTCGCTCTCTTACAAGATACCTAAAAGCCTAAATCAAACACCAATCCACTGCACCAAATTTTACTATTGCCACAAGGCAATCATATAACGCCTTTTTCCCCCACAGATTTTCCACCAGCCCGCCGTACCCCTTGAGAATAATATTATCCCTTCCATTCCTCCAATCCCAACTCATATTATTCCCTTTCCCTTTCCCTTTCCCTTTCCCTATATATACCTCCACTTCCCCACAAACAAATCAACCCATCTAAAACACCTTGTTGCATACATTCACTGTTCCATTGCCTTTTGTTCATCCTTCACAACCTCGACAAGGCAAAAAAACAGAAAGAAATGGAGAGAGTGTTCCAATTGGCGGCGGAGAGGCCGGTGGTGATGTTCAGCAAGAGCAGCTGCTGCATGTGCCACACCATCAAGACCTTGTTCTCCGATTTCGGGGCCAACACCACGGTCTACGAGCTCGACGAGATCTCAGGTGGCAGGGAGATGGAGCAGGCACTGGCTCGACACGTCGGCGCCGGCAGTGACTTCCCCGTGGTGTTCATCGGCGGGAAGCTCGTCGGTGGTGCCAATGAGATCATGACCCTCCATCTCAACGGTTCTTTGTCTGCCATGCTCAAACGAGCTGGTGCGCTGTGGCTCTGATCATCATATCGTTCGTTGATGAGATGGGTCAAGTTTTGGCTAACTTTACTATGTATAACGGAGTCTTTCCTTTTTAACCTCGGTTTTGGCTAAGTATAAGAGGGTACTAAAAATGTATACTTATGTTTGTATGCATCGGGATCTCATGATATTAGGCTTAATTTGCTCTACTTTATAATGTAATGCCTAATGTTAGATCTCCCACTTTTTGTAATATCTGATCTATGTACACTCTACAACCAATTATAATAAAGTATGGTGAGAGGTTTATGTTCTATCTAGCATATTATTCAATTGGTCTTCACACGATTCAAATAGCTATAACTAGTTAAGCATCATTCAAACTGGGTACTAACATATATAATGGAGTAAAGTTGTTTCATGGTTAAGGATTTCCCGAGATTTTTTCCCCCATATAAGTATGTCTTATGTGCTCTAGATTGTTCGTTCTGAGAAAGGTATCTTGCTTTCTCAGCATAAGTATCTTGCTATCTTGCTCTAGATTGTACTTGACTAATCTCGTGAACCCGTGACCAAAAGCAGTGTGTAAAAGAGATTTGTGGAGAGTTTGATTTTTTCGGCAGGCGTTGGCTTTGATTTATTCGGTAGGCATTCACTGAATCTTAAACTCGATGGGTATTCATGTTGACAATATAAGTTCTATTCAGACCGCAATCGATCCGGTGCTCCATGGTCGTACATATTATTGAGGTTCAAATCGCACCACATTCGTGAATTGTTTCGTGTTGGGATTATTCGTCTTCACTATATACCAACTAATGAACATGTAGTGGATTTGCTCACTAAGTCATTTACAATTAGTCACAGTTAGTTCCTCTCTAATAAATTGATACTTTGTTATCGACATCAGTGTATTATGTAGTCCATGTAATTAGATTGCTGGAGGGTGTTCAGGACAACTCTCAGCTTTGGAATGAAGCCAAGGAAGACGAGGGACCAAAGTGAAGGGCATCTTTGTCAATGCCTCTTACTGTTTTTGCTTTGGAGAACACTGAAAGTGACCCTTGTACTTGGTTCAATTTTAAGTTTTTGTCTTCTAGTTTTTGGAGGTAGCAGATCAACCTAGGGTTTGAGTTTGAACCTTTAAAATGTTGTTGTCTCTTCATTTTGATGTAATGTAAGAGAACTACTTTGGTTGGAAATGAGAAAGTGGATCTGAAGCACAAAAGCTCAGCTACTATTTGGGTTCCAAATTTTGTTCTTCTTTTATTCAGTTTTCCAGTTTTTTGCACTGATACATTGCATTTGCAGGTTTCTTGTGCTACTGGTATTCAAATATTTTGTTTTCTACACGTCATTGGAGCCCTCTTGATCTTTGATAGGGATCGTGAGGTTTTTCTTTGGAGTGAATCAGTGAGACTTTGTGAGGGTTGAGTGTTCTTCTTCTTTTTTCTCGACCTCTACCAGTTGCAAGTTACAGAAATGACTTCAACTGGCCTCTCTCTGACCTCACCCCCAGTTTTCAATGGTAAGAACTACCAGATCTGGGTTGAAGTCATTCATGCAAGGGAATGTCATCTGGGAGCCTGTGAATGGAAGAGTGGTGGATCCACTTCCAGCAAATGCTTCTCTAAATCAGCAACCCAGATATGCTGAAGAAGTAGCTAAAACCCACAGAGCTCTCACCTGCATCCATGTTGCTGTCACTGATGAAGTCTTCTCCAGAATCATGACTTGCACGACAATAAAGCAAGCATGGGACAAACTACAAGAAGAGTTCCAAGGGTCTGACAGAGGTAAGCAAATGCAAGCTCTGAATCTTAGAAGAGAGTTTGAAAGTCTGAGAATGAAGGAAGGTGAATGTATTAAAGACTATCTGGATAGAATCATGAAGAATGTAAATCAACTAAGGCTGCTTGGTGAGACTTTTGATGATTCTAGGGTTGTTGAGAAGATCTTAGTTACTGTGCCTGAAAAATTTGAGGCTAAGATCTCAACTCTGGAGGAAACACATGATCTGACTAAGCATCACTCAGCTGACCAACTCTTTGCAAGCAATTGAGGAGTTCCATAAGAAATGATGACAACCAGTGGCGGACCTAGTAAAGGGCAGGGTGTGTCGGACGCCCGGAAATTTTGTGAAGTACCTATATATTTTTGGTACATTTTTTTAATTCGGGACTTCCGACACACCTTAAATAATTGTGAGCGACACACCTTCATTATACGAGAATGTTTTTTTTTTGTTATAAATTTATTTATCTTAATTAGTAATACACAATAATAGGTAAATTCAAATAAGTATGCTTGTTTTAGAGTAACCCACACCACAACCTAGGGATGGCAATATGACGGGTTTACCTAAACCAACCTCATCCCCATTTCCAAATATTCAAACTCATACTCGTCTCATACCCATGCAGTGGAAGGTCTTACAAACTCATCCTCATACCCGCGGTTTTCGGATACCCATGGGTAATATCGCCCTAACAACTACTCACCATTAATAAAAGAATATGGTGACAAATATGGATACTACCCACCCAAAATTATGGAACTAATACATAAGAGGATGAAATTACGGTTTGGTTGTCATCAATTACATTTTAACACTTTATTTTTTCTTTTAATTATCATTCATTCGATTGACAAGTTACAATACACTCCTTATATTTTATGTATATAACATAACATCCTTGGTTGGCGGGTTTGGGTATGGGTATGGGGCGAGAGAGTCAAAAACCATACCCACCCCATATCCATCAACCTTTTCGGGGGTTTTATCCATACCCGCCCCATACCCAGTCAACGCAAGGATTCCCGCGTTGACTGGGTCGGAGGAGGTCAGGTACCCGCGACCATGGGTTTGGTTGTCATCCCTACCACAACCCAACAATGGAAAAAATAAACATAACCCCATCCATTGAAACTCACCGTTTCCACCCCTTGACCCTTCCTTTATTGAAAATAACAAACTCACCCTTACCCCGTTTTAGTTTCTAATTACTGAGAGCCACTACCACATCTCCCTTTTCTTTTACCCTTTAGTTTTACTTGCTTTTGGAAGTTGGTGTTGACTTTACATGTTGCAATTGAAAGTTGCGAAAGATTTCAGCTATGAAGATAATCAAGAATGAACTTTGAAATCGGTTGAGTGACCAATTTATGAATCATTGTTTAGTTGTGTATATGGAAAAGGATTTGCTTCGCAAAATAAGCAATGAATGTATTTACAGGCATTTCTAGTAAACATGAACTTTATGAATTAATTTCTATTAATTTTTTAATTATTATATTATTTTCTCGGCGACACACCTCTCCGACAATTCTGGGTCCGCCACTGATGACAACTTAGAAGAAGCTTTGGTTGTAAGGCAAAAAAAGGCCAAAGGCCAAAGTTCTGGAGTAAAGAAAACTCCTGGAAAGAAGAAAAAGGGTAATGAGGAGCAGACTGAGAAATCAACTGAGAAGAAGGTCTATCCTCCTTGTCCTATATGTAAGAAGACCAATCACACTGAGAACTACTGCTGGTATACACCTAATGTGCAATGCAGGTCATGTAAAAGACTTGGACATGTTGAGAAGGTTTGTAAAAACAAAAGCATCAGGGAGCAAGTGGCCATTGTAGAAGCAAATGGGCAGAACAAGCAAGAAGGAATGTTCATGGTCACCTGTTTCACAGCTACAAGCAGCAGTGAGGACTGGCTTCTAGATACTGGTTGTACAAATCATATGACAAATGACGAGGAGTAATTTCTAGATCTCGACAAGTCCTAAGAGTCTAAAGTTAAGATTGGGAATGGTGATCTGCTATCTATTGAAGGTAAAGGATCAATTTCAGTGCAAACTGCCTTTGGACTTAAGGTAATCCCTGAAGTTCTATTTGTTCCTGATCTAGCTAAGAACTTTCTTAGTATATGACAAATGCTTGAAAATGGTTACTCTTTGGAAATGCAAAACAAGTCATGTGTTGAGTAAGATTCTAAAAGAGAAACATGTTTGATCTCTCTATGATTTCAAAGGATGTTTGCCCTGAAAATGAAAACTGCTAACATGGCTGCAGTGACTAGAAATGATCAATCAGCTCTCTGGCACAGTAGGCTAGGTCATTTCAGTCAACATACCATAGTTAAAATGGCTCAGGATGGTTTGGTAAAGGATTTACCTGTTCTTGAGTTGAATGAAGGTGTGTGTGAAATATGCCAGCTTGTAAAACAACACAGGTTGTCCTTTCCTAAGAAACACACTTGGAGAGCTCCTGTGAAGCTTGGACGATTCACACTGATATATGTGGGCTTTTTAAGGTGGAATCTTGGGGTGGAAGTAGGTATTTCTTGTTATTCGTTGATGACATGACAAGATACTGATGGGTAGAACAAGTTTGAAGCTCTTCCCAAATTCCAGAAATTTAAGGCACTGGTTGAAAATCAAAGCAATGAAAAGATTAAAACTCTGAGATCTTACAATGGGAAAGAGTACACTTCTCTAGCCTTTGAGAAGTTGGTGGCATCAGAGGGTGTACTTCATCAACTCACAGTCAGGTATACTCCACAGCAAAATGGAGTGAGTGATAGAAAGAACAGGACAGTCATGGAAATGGCTAGATACCTGTTATTTAAGAAGAAGATTCCCAAGAAGTTCTGGGTTGAAGCTATGAACACTTCAGTCTACTTGCTCAATAGGCTGACAACAAGGTCAGTTAAGGGGAAGACCCCCCTATGAGGTCTGGAATGGATTCAAACCTAGTCTAATTCATCTAAGGACCTTTGGATCTGTGTGTTATGCTCATGTTCCAGCTCCAAAAAGGGACAAGCTTGATCACAGGTTTGAAATGGGGATTCTAGTGGGCTATAATACTGAGTCTAAGGCCTACATGATCTTCAATCCAACAACTGAGAAGTTCCAATTGAGCAGGGATGTGATTTTTGATGAGCAGGTCACTCATGATTGGTCATCTCCTCATAATGAAACTGAAGACATCTATGATTTGGTGACATTTCAGCTTCAAGGTCATCAGGACTTGGATGATGAACCAGAACCTCAAGCTGATGAAAACCATGCTCAAGAGCAAGATGAACCAGAGGGCCTTGGGTATGCTCAAGAGCAAGATCATCTCTTTGCATATTACACAAAAAATTTGTAAAATAATTTATTTTTACATAGTATTTTAATGAAATGTGATACTTTCTATTTTATTATTAGATCACACATTATGGGAGATTTATGTAATAATATTCCATAATAGTTACGTAAATTATAAATACATTATGCAAAAGTTATGGAGAGATAGTTATTTCTTATGTATTAATTAAACAAAGGTAATACATGAGTCTTACATAATGATTAAAACACTACATAAAGCTTATGAAAGGATAATTATTTCTTATGTATCAACTAAACAGACATATTATGTAAGTCATCTGTAATGATTAAGACACTACGTAAAATTTATGTAGGGATATTTATTTTTTATATTTCACTTAAAAAAACGTATGACATGATTAAGACACAATGCTTAAATCTTATTTATGTATCTTACCCCTACAATTTTATAATTTTTTTTTATTTCAACTAAATTATTCAATAATAAAACAAAATTAGTTTCTTAACGCTGCGAAGCTCGGGCCAAAAAACTAGTCACGTTTAATTATGAGTTTAGATTATTAGGCTCAGATTTGGGCTTGGTTTGAGATGGTATGTACTAGGGGTTGTTATACAGTCTAGTCCGGTTAAATTGGCCCGAATTGATCCGGTTCCGATCCGGTCTTTTCGAGAATATAAGAACCAAGGATTGGATACAGTCCGGTCCCAATTCGGTCTTCATTTTAGTTTGAGCTTGTGGGGATTTGAGTGGCTTGAGGGGAGATTTCAGTGGCCTGAGGCCTGAAAGAGTGAGGAGGTTAAATTTTGGGTGTTGGGCTCTCTTATCCGGTCTTTATTCGGTTTTCTGTCCGATCCTGAACGGTTTTTTACCTCAAATCCAGGCCTGAAGATGGAATTGGATTGTTTGCTATCCGGTCCCAGTCCGGTCTCGATCCGGATTATACATTCCAGTTTCGGATAAAACCAAAAAGGCTGGACCAAATAGCCAACCCTATTATTTACATGGGTAAGCATTAGATTAGTGCATGGCCGGCCCGACTCACTAGTCTAGGTGTTTGTGCATTGTGAAGGCAGCTAGGAGGTAAGTAGGTTCGGCTAGGTTTATGTGTTAGGGTACTAGGTTTCTCCTTCTAATATAAACGGTAAGTTCGGCATTAGTTCGGACAAAGAATTAATAGACAAAAGGTTTAATTTATCGAAATCAATGTTGTTCTCTTACTTGAGTTACAAATGAACTCTGGAACCGTGAGTTAAGGTTCATCAAAGTAGCGACCCTAGAATGAACAAATCTGTGGCTCTTGGCCTCAAGTTTGAGCTGTTTCATAATCTTGTCCTAGATAGTACAACTGGCTATAGTGGGAGAATTGATGCGTCGTACATTCTCTTCTTCTCTGTGCAAGAGAAAGAGATCGATCGAGAATCGAATTTGAGGATCGAGAACAAGAGGATTAGAAAAGGAAGTCGTGTGTAGGAGCTGTAGATCGAGAAATCACTAAGCTAGGTCACAAAATCGGTCCCTAGCTAGAAGTAGTAGATGGGATAATATCTCACTTTCAAGATCTATCCACAAGAAATGCTGCCACGAAATATAATCTATCATAAACCAAACAAAGTAGAGCAGAAAGGTATTGGATGCAATAGTGGACAAATTGATCGAACAACAAGATATACCATGTGGAAGTGGCAAAAAGAAGCAGCGATCGACGAGTAGGAGGAATCACACATGGTTTTACATTGAGTAAAATTAAAAGTCTGTCATATCACTAGCAGATTCGAGAATTAATTTTATTTAGATTGTTCACGTAGGTTCACAATGTAAATGATATCTAAACTTTGAATTGAGCGGAGTGAGAGACATGGAACTATATCCTAATTAGGGTTGGCTATTTAGTCCGGGTTTTTTGGTTTTACCCGAAACCGGACCGTATAACCCGGACCGAGACCGGATCGGGACGGGATAGTAAACAATCCAATCCAATCTTTGGGCTTAGATTTAAGGTAAAAAACCGTTCGGGACCGGATCGAAAACTGGATAAAAGACCGGATAAGAGAGCTCAACACCCAAAACTTAAAGGTAACTTGCATAAACGGTCACAAACCTTTGCACTTAGTACAAAACTTAACCAACTCCTCACCTTTTCCGGCCTTAGGCCACTCAAATCCCCACAAGCTCAATATAAAATCAAGACCGAATTGGGACCGGACCTGGTCAAGACCGGACTGGATCAAGACCGGATTGTATCCAATCCAATCTTTGGTCCATATATTTTCAAAAAGACTGGACTGGACCGGATCAATTTGGGCCAATTTAACCGGACCGGACCGTATAGTCATCCCTAATCCTAACCAGTGGCGGACTCAGGATTATTGAAGAGGGTATCGCCGATAAAAAATTATAATAAATAAAATAATTAAATAAAACACTATTAGAAATTACTAGAAATTCATTTATAAGTTCACAACGTAATGTTTACTACGAATTATGACGATTTTTCATATCCTGAGATATTTTTAAAATACATTCATCGTTTATGTTGCAAATCAAACCTTTTTCGATATACACAACTACATAATCGTTCATAAATTAGTCACTCAACCAAAGAGAATCGACCTACGTCAAATATCAAATTAAGTTAAAATAAATTAGTTTGCTACCAATTGGCTATTTTAGAAAAAACAAAGTATGCCTAAAGTAATATTAGTAGCATTTTTCTCTAGTTCTATCAAATTAACCAAAATCAAACCACAATCTCCCATAAATATACGCAATTCACCTATTAACTACAAATCGATAAGTTAAATTGGGTTGTGGATTACTTAAAACAAGCATGCTTATTTAATTTTACTTATTATTGTTAATTACTAATTATGATGAATAAATTTATAACATTAAAACTATTGTCGTATCATGAAAGTGTGCCGCTTATAATTATTAGAGCGGTGTCGAAAGTCCCAAATTAAAAAAAATTGTACAGAAAAAATGGAGATACATCACAAAATTTTTGGGTGGAGGGGTGTTGGATGACACCCCTCCCCTTGCCCTAGGTCCGCCCCTGATCCTAACCCTTAAAGATTAAAATATAGATCTTTATTCTCTAAATCTTATACACTAAGATCTATTTAATTATAAACAATAATCGACGGTTTCGGTTTTTTGGTAGGAAATTCGGAATTATAGTAATTCGGTTTTTCGGTCGGAATTTCGATTCGCCTGAAAGAACCCTGGCTTCCGAAATATCCATATTTCCCTTCCGAATTTCGAAACGAATAGAATTTCGGTCCGAACCGGTTGCCCACCCTACAACAAATCATGTGGACCATATTAGTGGATCGTTTATGATTTAGATAAATAAGACCTAGGATTCAGTTATCAAGGGCTATGATATATGTTGGGTGTGTAAGTATGTGCCAGGGATAGCCCAGATGGAGAGGCCCAAGGAAGCCTGTTGGGGGTGTAGGCATGGGCCAGGGATGGCCCAGGCAGAGAGGTCCAAAGAAGCCCACAGAGATAATGGATATGGGCCAAGGGCGCACGGTGGACGACCCAGCTGAAAGCCAGGGGAGTATGCTGGGCAGGTGGGGCCGGACACCTGGTAGGAGGCGCATAGGACAAAAGACACTCAATGGTCGGGAGTGTACGAAAAGCAGACCATATGATATCATGCGCCTCGAACCTCTAACAAGGGGGTCAGGTGGTTGAGGCGCATGTGTGAAAGGTGTACGACGCATTTATTGCACTTCTGACACAGGACGAGGACGATGGATACCGGTCGGCCAGGCTCTGAATATAAATAATGGAATAGACGAACCTCATTTACTTAGTTTTACTTCTTTTACTCAGCGGCGGATCCAGAACACAGAAGAGCACTGGGCCGCCGTTCATTAAAAAATTAAAACCGTAAACAAATATAATAAAAAAAATTTGCAATATAAATTGTACACTATTGTATTTTAATTTAGTGAATGCAACAATAATGGAGTCCACATCCATACCAATAATATAAATTATTTCAAATAAAATACTTGAGCAATCGGCGAGAAATTCATCGTTCATTTTATTGCGCAAATAAGTTTTTACACATGTTTCATTTTTTAAAAAGTAATCCCGGTAGTAGCTGTTGAAACGAGCGCGTCAACACTAGACAAATCAATCGTGCATTGTGTGTCCATCCATAGATTCACCAACTACTCTAGTAAATTTTCAAGGGAAAAACCTTATGTTTCTTCTAGTCTTTTACGTTTTAGACTTTTATATTTCATTGTTATTTAGAAGAATAATCTTTGGGGCTAGAATTTTTAATCTAAATAGAATAATGATTGGAAAATGTTAATTTAAATTATTTTTCTAGTTATACCCAACTTATTATAAAATAATATTGAATCGGATGTCTAATATCGAAAAATTCATAAGGACTACACTAATGTCGGATCCAGAGGTGGGCTGGCCGGGGCTGGATCCACCAATGCTTTTACTATAACGGTTGTTTACTTCTTTCTCTAAAAGAAACGCCTTTTCAAGATTTTCCACCGGCCGGCCGTACCCTGGAGAATAATATTATCCTCTTTTCCATCCCTCCAATGATCCCAACTCAAATCAATCAAACAAACTTTTATTTGACGTTTTTTTTTCCTATATATATCTCCACTTCCCCTCCCCGGTTCCACACAAACCCATATATCCAAACCCACTATTCCATACACATATACACTTTCACTGTTCCATTGCCAAAAAAACAGAAATGGAGAGAGTGTTCCAACTGGCGGCGGAGAGGCCGGTGGTGATGTTCAGCAAGAGCAGCTGCTGCATGTGCCACACCATCAAGACCTTGTTCTCCGATTTCGGGGCCAACACCACGGTCTACGAGCTCGACGAGATCTCAGGTGGCAGGGAGATCGAGCAGGCACTGGCTCGACACGTCGGCGCCGGCAGTGACTTCCCCGTGGTGTTCATCGGCGGGAAGCTTGTTGGTGGTGCCAATGAGATCATGACCCTTCATCTCAACGGTTCTTTGTCTGCCATGCTCAAACGGGCTGGTGCACTGTGGCTCTGATCATATCGTTCGTTGATGAGATGGGTCAAGTTTTTGGTTAACTATACTATGTATAACGGAGTTGAGTCTTTTTCTTCTTAATTACAGTCATCATCGTAATGATGATGATAATGATAAAACCTCTGTTTTTGGCTAAGCATCAGAGGTTACTACTACTGCGACTAATTATTATATAATAAAGTTTGATGAGAGTTTCATCTCTTTGTGGGTGTCCGTGATTTGTTTGATTGATCTTCATGAGGTTCAAATTGAGTACTAAAAAAGTAAAAACTGTAGTAAAATTGTTTGAAGAGCAAGGATTGTCCGATTTGAGTTCACGTGGTAAGAACTTTGTAAGAGTAGAGAGAAAGTAGGTTTTGTGAAGGCAGACCCCTTAAGGAAGAAGGGGCTGCTGTTCTCTGTTTTTATATAACGGCATAATCAAGTTTAAAGCCACTAAACAAACTTAGCCACGTGTCACATAAACACTGGCAATTACATAACTGAAATTACTGTTGATTAACGGCTAGCATAACTAAACCACACGACTGCGTTTTGTCTAAATGCTGAAGCCTTTCCATTGAAACGTCACCGTCTTCTCTTCACTCCATTCTCGGGCTTCATCTTCTCAATCCTTTCTTCCCAAGGATTCAGCAACAGGATGTTGACACCCCCCTTCAAGTTGTGGATGCCATTTTGATTCCCAACTTGACAAGCAACTCCTTCAGTCGTGTGCTGTCCAAAGCCTTGGTAAACAGGTCTGCAAGTTGATTCAAAGTTCCAACATGATGCAGCTTTATCAAACCAGATTTGATCCTTTCCCTTGTCACATGCATATCTATTTCTATATGTTTGGTTCTCTCATGGAACACTGGATTCTCAGCAATATGTATTGCTGAACGATTATCACAGAATATAGATATAGGCAGTGGAACCTGCACACTCAATTCAGCTAGGAGTGTTCTCACCCATTGCACCTCACATACCAATAGAGCCAAAGCTCTATATTCAGCTTCTGATGATGATCTTGAGACAGTTGTCTGCTTCTTTGTCTTCCAAGTCAGTAATGAACTTCCTAGGAAAGTGCAGTAACCTGTAGTTGATCTCCTGGTATCAGGACAACTCGCCCAATCTGAATCACAGTAGCCTGTCAACTTAAGTTCTGCTTGACTACTGAAATGTATTCCCTGTCCAGGTGAATTCTTCAGATACCTTAAGACTTTGTAGGCTGCTTGTAGATGTTCTGTGTGGGGATCTTTCTGGAATTGGCACAATTGCTGGACTGCATAGGTTAGATCAGGCCTGGTGATGGTTATATAATGTAACCTCCCAATCAGCCTTCTATATGATTCAGGATCATTCATTCTTGTTCCTTGTTCTGCTGTCAATTTGGTCTTGGTATCTGCTGGTATCACAGTTCCCTTAGCTTCCAGGTATCCTGTTTCTTCCAATAGATCCAAGCAGTATTTCCTCTGACAGACAGATAACCCTTCATCATTCCTTGTCACCTCCAATCCCAAGAAATACTTCAAAGGACCTAAGAGCTTGATCTTAAACTCCTTACTTAAAGACTTTTTGACCTGCTCAATATCCTTAGGTGCATCTCCAGCCACTATTATGTCATCTACATACACTAGCACTACTACATTTCTTCCTCGAATCCACTTGGTAAACATAGAATAGTCTGAACTTGACTGTGAAAAACCACTCCCGAGTAGGAAGTTGGTTAACTTAGCAAACCATTGCCTAGAGGCTTGTTTTAAGCCATACAAGGACTTTTTCAAACGACAAGCTACCTGTCCTGAACAGGATGGTGGAAGTTCAACTCCCAATGGTACTTTCATGTACACTTCTTCAGTCAAATCACCTTGCAAGAAGGCATTTGAAACATCCATCTGTTCAAGACTCCAGTTCTTCACTGCTGCCACTGCCAATAAAGCTTTAACAGTGTTTATCTTTGCCACAGGGGAGTAGGTGTCCAAGAAGTCTATGCCATAGACCTGTGTAAAGCCTTTTGCCACCAATCTGGCTTTATATCTTTCTATGGTTCCATCAGGTCTCAATTTTACTTTGAACACCCACTTATACCCAATTGCTCTTTTGTTCTGTGGCAGTGGAACAACATCCCATGTCTGGTTTTCTTCCAGTGCTGCCAACTCCTCATCAATTGCTCTTTTCCATTCAACATGCTTTACTGCTTCTTCATAGCTGATTGGTTCCATCTGTGTGATTACACTCAAAGCATATTTTCTATCTTCTATGCTAAGATGGTCCACTTCCAAGCATATAGGATACTTGGTGGCTGCTGCAGCTGTGCCAAATGCACCAAACTTCAGTCTTGTGTCTAATTCACAGTCTTGCAACTTGGCAGGAAGTTTGTGAGTGCGAGAAGGTCTGGCTGGTGGATCAAAATCAGCTTGAGGTTCCAATTCAGAATCATGTTCAACATAAACTGGTGATCCAGGATCCTGAGGTGAAGAAGAAGAAGGAGAAGAAGGTTGAATGTGAGAAGCAGACTGAGGTGAGGTTACCCCCCCCCCCATCAGCAGAAGGTGAGTGAGGTGAAGGATGGGAATAGGAATTTGGATAGGTGGAGCAGAAGAAGAAGGAGAATAAGAAGAGGGTATAGCAAGTGAGGGCTCAGAGGCTGGAATCATGTTCCTGAAAGGCAGAATGGACTCATGGAATACTACATCTCTGGAAACAAAAACACGATGGTCATCCAGAGATAATAGTTTATAACCTTTGATGCCCTGAGGAAAGCCTAACAGCACACATTGCTTGGCCCTTGCTGCAAATTTAGTTCTGCCATGAGTAAGAGTGCTTGCATAACAGAGGCTCCCAAAAACTCTTAAGTGGCCAAGGAAAGGAGGTTTGTTGTATAACATTTCATAGGGAGATTTGTTGTGTAAAACTGGTGTAGGGAGTCTGTTGATAAGGTAGACTGAGTGAAGAACACAATCACTCCAGTAATGCAAAGGTAAACCAGACTGAAACCTTAAAGAACGAGCCACATTTAAAATGTGTTGATGCTTCCTTTCTACCCTGGCATTCTGCTCAGGGGTTTCAACACAAGACATTTGATGTTCAATGCCATGTTCCAAGTAAAAATCACACATGTTGAACTCTTTCCCTTGATCACTATGAACTGTTTTCACTGATTTCCCAAACTGATTATGTACCAAATGACAAAAGCTTTTTAAGAGTTCCCTGGTTTCACTTTTGTGTTTCATTAAAAACACCCATACTGCTCGAGAATAATCATCAACCATAGTAAGAAAGTAAGCAAATCCATCATAGGAATGAACAGAAAGTGGCCCCCAAATGTCTACATGGATCAATTGGAATAAATCATGTGCATGACTAGTGCTGACAGGAAAGGGTAAACGTTTGTGTTTGGAATAATGACAAACATCACAATGAGAAACTTTAGTACTAGTTACAGTGGAATCAGTTTCCTGTAACAAGGAAATCCTATCACTACTGGGATGGCCTAATCTCCAGTGCCAAAGATCAAATTGTTGGGTACTAAAGTTGAGGGTTGCAGCTGCTTGTGGTGGTGTTGGGAGGTTGGCTGGTGCTGGTGATGATTGAAAGGTGAGTTGGTAAAGGCCTCTAGACTCTCTTGCCAAACCAATCATCCTCTTGCCGAGTAGGTCCTGGATTTGGCATAAATCAGAGTCAAAGTGTAAGGCTAGGGGAAAATCTTTGGTAAGTTTACTAACTGACACAAGGTTGAAAGAAAAACTGGGGACAAGGAGAACATTATACAGGTAAAGGCCAGAAGGTAATTTGACTGTCCCTATATGTGTAACATGAACCTTAGCACTATTAGGAAGATGAACATAAGTGTTTTGAACTGACTTGTGCTCAACAAACAATGCTAAGGAACATGAGATATGGTCAGAAGCTCCTGTATCAAGAATCCAAAAATGAACTAAATTGGTAGGTTTGGATTCACTATAGGTAGACATGACATATTTACCTGAATAGTTGGGGAATGGTGGCATGTATTGGGACACAGAGTAAGCATTATGGGTAATGGAAGGGGAAAGTGGTGGTGAGGGTGTTGTGCCAGCACTAGATTGCATCATTTGCCTCAATCTGTTCATCTCCTCTAGAGTAAAGCCAACAACAGAATTAGCAACACTTACTGGGCTACCTCCAGAGGCATCACCACTCACACTTCCTTCAGTGTGTGAATCTCCAGAACTTCCTTGAGACACTGAACCTGCAAACCGAGGTGTGCTACTCTGTGAACCACTTGACTTGTTTCCACCTGCCTGTTCCTTATCTCTCCTTTTCTTTCTCCGGCATTCATCAACTGTGTGATAAGTCTTCTTGCAATAGACACAATAGCGCTTCTCTTGATTACGTTGGGTAGACTGTGTGTCTGTGTTCACTGCCAACGCAACAGTCTGAGATCTCTTGCCAGAGCCTTCACCTTTCAACTTCTGTTCATGCTGCAACAGGTCATCCACAGCTTCAGAAACATTGGGTAGCGGTTTCTGCATCAGGATTTGGGTTTTCACCACTTCAAAGTCTGTGTTAAGACCTCTGAGAAACCGAATTAAGTAATCAGTTTCCTGCCTTTCTGTATAAGCAGTGACAGCATCACAAGGGTTTGCATTCCCAGGTGCACAATTGCAGGGTACAATTGGGCTGAACTGCAGATACTCCTCCCAGAGACCTTTGATGTTTGTGTAACAGTCATTTATAGACTTATTACCCTGCTTGCAACGTTGGATTTCATCTTCTAGATTGATTATCCTCACAGCATTTGGCTTGCCAAACCTGCGTTTCAGCTCATCCCACAAGAATTTCGCATTCACGTGATTCATAACAGATCTTCTCAAATCCTTGTGCAAAGAGTTGAGAATCCAAGATAAAACAGCAGTATTACAGCCATCCCATAACAGATACTTATCATCATTCACAGGAGGCATAGGTATACTACCATCGATGAAACCCATTTTGTGTTTCATCTTCAAACCCATCACTACAGATCTACTCCACATCGTATAATTAGTGCCATCAAACACCTCCGACCCAATAGACTGGTTGAGGGCTTCGTTTGGATTCAGATAGAATGGATTCCCAAAGGTAATTACCTCAGACCTTGGTTGTCCTGTGTTCAGCTGATGAGCATCAAGGCTTCCAAACTGGAAATTGGTTGCCGTTGAACCACTGGACCCATTTCCTCCTCCAGATCCATTTCCTCGTCCATGGGGCGGCGTGTGAGGTGGTGTGCCGGTCGACATTGTGCTTGCCCTAGATCGTCACCGCTCTGATACC